AATATACTTATATATACAGCAGAGGTTCAGATTCCTGATCTGTTGCCCGTTAGCTCCCGTCGTGACTCAGAGAAAGCGAAATGTTAAACCTCATGTTGGTGTTGATTGACAGATGGTTTGAGCTTCATTCAGACCAGAGAACAGCCTGAGACTCCGAACTGTTTCACTGAAACAGAAGAAGCTGAAGGATCAAACTCGCTGGATAAAATGTTTCCTGCTCTTTGGTCCAAACTGAAATATCGGACTCTGGTTCCAGGTCCAACTCGTGTTTTTGATGTTGACTCGGGATCTTGATTCAGGACTTAACTTGTTGAACTTGACACGTCAGCTGACTGACGCAGTTTGTCGGTGTAATAAAAGGACCGTGGACCGAGCTCAACCAAACCACCGCGGGGGGCCGTCCTCAGTGGTGGCTCTCGCTCGTAGGATGCTCTGGGCCAGATGACAGGTCAACATCTGTCCTCTCAACTCTCAGCCAGTAGACGTCGGTTTGATATTCACTCCTTTGTTTTTCATTTACTCGTCTTCGGCTCCTCTGAGGACGTCCACACGAACACTGAGCTGCTGCACGATACATCAGAGTTACATCCTATAATCCATTGATCCCGATAGTAGTTTGTATCTTGTGTGTTTCTATAAATTGTTTCATATAATAAAATTGTTTAGTTCCACTGAACCATCCCATTTCCATGGTAACGGTGAGCTCCACCAATCAGAGACGTCACTGTTACACCTGAGGATTGTGGGTAGTGTAAATAAAACACGGGTGACATAATTTGGACGTCTACAGGAGAATGTAAAGTTTCACAGTCTCGTACTTTGTGGTGAGTCCAAACTGGATGGTTGAAATATTATGACTGACGTGTTACAGAAGTGACGACTTGTCTTCAGATTAAACGTCGCTGGCGGTTTTTACAGTTGAACCCTGAACTCCGTCTTTCAGGTTTGTCACTAAAACAAAGTGACGGGATTCTGGAGCCGAGCTTCAGTCGACAGTTTGATTCTTCTGAGAAGCAGCAGAGTTGGAACGTAGCTTTTAGCTGCAGGGATAAAAGTCCATATAGAAGCTATAAATACACACATGCACAGACATGAGCCGACCAATCAGGGCCGGAGTTCAGGATGAAGAGCTGTTCAGCTTCAGGGTTGAAGCTTGAACATGTGACAGCAGATCACAGCCATCAATCAGAGCCACGTTCACTCTTCAGCTCTACAGAAGGAACACCGACGTCACGCAGACTCCGTACATCTGCTGAGAAGAAGAAACTCTCTTCATCGAACCTTCAATCTTATTTCACTTTGTGATCCACGAAACACAAAACAACAACTTGTCCACAAACCGATAAGTCGACTGAACAAAGAATCCGCTGGCATGGATTTGAAAGTGTTAGATCACTGCAGCTTCTCACAGGTTTGTTCTCAGGAATCTTTCCAAACGTTCACCAGCGATGAAGAAAGAGCTTCTGATGTGTGATGAAGATTCATTTCTACTCGGTGTCTCGCAGATAAAGAGAAGAATCAACTCGATGAGTCGATTGTCCCGATGTAATATTTATATGTGTATTTCTTACAACATGGCAAACAGAGAAGCTTCAAACCCAGAAAACAAATCAAACAGTGATGAAATGATAAAGTGAGTCAGAGGAGAGTTTGATGAGCACGCAGGAGAACCTGCAGGTGGAGGAGGAGGGTTTACTCCTTCACCAGAATCCAGAGCTTTCTACACTAAAGGTATAAAACTGGTTCAAGTAGAAGAGTTCATCGAAAACTGCTCCTGAACTCAGAGTCTTCATGAGAAACTCCGAAGGTACCGACCGACCTTCACTGACCAGGACGTTTTCCGCCTCAGAAAAATAACGTCCAAAGTCCGAGCACAAATTGCCACCGATGGTTAATTCCTCCGTCTGTGTGACCCACCTGTTGGTGGGTGTGTCTCTTTGGCTCCGCCCCTCACCTGAGCAGCAGCTTTAAAAATGAGCAACCGGATCGTCTCCTCTCACTCGCTCCAGAAGACAGACGGCAACTGTCTCCCTTATCGTCATGGCAACTACATTCTCCAGTGGCAGCATGTTGGGGCGATCGTCCCTCATAGGCGGCATGAGCTCGTTCAGCATGGCGGGCGGAGCAGGAGGCTCTGGTGTTAGAGTCTCTCAGGCCAGCCGGAGCTTCTCTGCAGGCGGCGGCGGCGGCTTTGGCATCAGAGGTGGAGCAGGTGCAGGTTTCGGTGGTGGTGCAGGTTTCGGTGGTGGTGCAGGTTTCGGTGGTGGAGCAGGTTTCGGAGGTGGTGCAGGTTTCGGAGGTGGTGCAGGGGCAAACGAAAGCCTCATCGGCAACGAGAAGTTCACCATGCAAAACCTGAACGATCGCCTGGCCACCTACCTGGCCAAGGTGGCGGCGCTGGAGAAGGCCAATGCCCAGCTGGAGCTGAACATCAGACAGTTTGTGGAGAGCAAAGTCGGACCGACCACCAGAGACTACAGCGCCCACTTCATCACCATCGCTGAGCTGCAGGCCAAGGTGAGGACCAGGGGCATCCTGGGAAATAAGATCATCCTTTATTAGTCCCACAATGGAGAAATGTGCAGTATTACAGCAGCAAGAGTCAAAAGGCATCAGTTAGTAATAAGTAAGATGCAATCCTA